AGATAAAATCATGTTGTATTGACAAACCCTTGTAAATAATTTTATGTGTTAAGGAATATTTAAAGGTAAATTTTTTGAATTTCCAGATCATGTTTACTATTTCAATGAGATTTTAAAGATAATCATTTCTACATTTCGAGAGAAGTTTATGTGTAGTCTCTCTTATTTCCTTTACAGAAAGCAGTTTTCCTCTCAACTTCATAATTTGTTTTATTCTTATTAAATTTGACAGGAACTTAAAAGTCTAAAGAACAAAATAAAACATATCAAAGACAAAACCATCAGCGTCAAATCTCTAATTTAATTGTTTAACTAATGTCGAGCCATTTTAGAGAAAATTCCGACACAACCCAAGGCCTGTATATCTACCATATAAAAGATATTGTTCTTCTTATTGGATGTGCCTTGACCAATATAAATTCAGACACAAACCAATGTCGTCAGTTTTCTTCTTATTATGGCTCTGCCTTGACCATTGGAGTATCCTCCGATTCCCTTCATAGTTAGGGCGTTTTCTAAGTTGTAACATTACAACACTCGTCGGATTAGTTGTGCATATAGAAATTAAACTACAACATATTGTTTCTTTGTGCATAAAGTAGTTGAAGTCGAAAAACTGAAGTACATATGGTAGTGTTGTGATCTTATTATACATTCTTGTGCAGGTCCTGAGCTCAGCATGACGAATGTTGTAAATAGCCCCTTCCCTTAGATACCCGAGGTATTCCTCTCCTAGAGCAGGAGGTATCCCTTAAATGGAGATGGAGGCCAAGCCATAAGTAAATGATCAAATTGCAACCTGTAAGTAAGTAAGTTGTTTCTCTAGAGCTCAGGTGATATTGTCAAAGACATAAGCAATACAGTGCCCTTCAGTAGACCTGGAAAGAAATGACGCATACAGTCTCCTACACAATAAACCTGAGATAACAAAAAAAAAAGTAATCAATTGTGAATAAAAAGGATCATCTTCGGAATAACCTTTACTAACACCCTCATCACCAAAAATAACATCTTGAATTTGGTCAGGGTGGGATAGTACAACCACCACAGCTTCTGCACCTGCTTAATTAAGAACGCCAGAAAGTCTTCGATTTCTCAGCTTTTGCAGTCGATGAAGGATTCAGTGTCGCTAATTCTGGTGGAAACGCGGATGAATAAGCAAATTTCCGATTGGTTGATGGAAAACCATCGCCGGGGGGAATCCAACCAAGTCAGAAGAGAGCAACGGGGAGACCGTCCATGGCAC